CCTCCCTGGTTTGTGAATCCTGCAAGACCATTTGAGATGTGACTTTCAAAAGCACTGTCCACTGGCAGACGCTGAAGTCAGTGAGAGTTTTATTTCAGAGAGGGCTGTCAAGCCAAAACTGAATGCCCTGCTTTATGTGTCAGAGTTGCAGCAGTGAGTTACAAGAAGCAAAGCTGTTTGAAATAATCCAAGATGCTGGGAAGACAGAATGCTTGGCTTCCATCAGCAAATGAGGTATCAAACCCAACAAATATGTCAAGCAACAGAGTAACAAAATGCATTTCTGTAGTGGCACGTGTGTGCTCCCTTCCTGTAAAGTGCAGTTGAAATAAATAAAGAAAAAAAGACAAGAAAAGCAGTGGTGATTACAGATGTCAGTGTAAGTGGCCCCAGCATAAAAGGCTCCTGGGAGCTGAAATCAGGCTCAAAGGGTGCTCGGGGAGCATTTGATGCCAGAGCTTGGCCATCAGCTCAGAATCTGCTGTTATTAATATGGGCTGAGGTATTTCTAAAGTTGCATTTAAATAAATGGAGCAAACCAAAATGGCATTTGCACTGAAAGGAGACACCAGAAGAGAGTAAGTAATAAAAAGCAGCGTAGATTGGGCATTCACTACGTGATGGAACTTGCACATCCTTCCTGGAAGGAGCTGTTGGCAGTCCTTTGGCAGTATATTTTCTATGAGACCAGTTCTGTCTGAGTCCAGCCGGGCTCTGTTCGTGTTCACTAACCCCCATTGTGCTCCAGGGTGTTCCTGCAGTTGTAGCCTAAAGGATGACCTCTTGTATCCAGCACCTTTTTGCATGGGTGGAGTGGAGAGCAGCTCCCCGTGAACCTTCAGCTTGTGCTTCTCCATGCTGCTTCCTCTCAACGCTCCTCTCTCTCTGGCGCTGCCTAACTCTGACTCTGGCTGTCCATGGGGTTTTCCTTTGTGCTTGATCTAACCATGTGGTAGAACAATACAAATGGAACATGGTTCTGTCAAGCACCATGGAAGGCTGCATACTCCCTGCAGCATGGCATGCTCGGATACTTCTGCTGGTTTCAGAAGCATCAAAAGGTGAGAGATTCCCCTTTTCTCCCAGGAAAAAGATAAAAAAAAAGGTGAGGTGTTGCTTAACCAGGCTCCTGGGCATGGAGGGGGGAGCCCGAGTGATGTTTGGGACAGACTTTCTACGGGGCTTGCATGCAGAATAACCGTTTCTAAGTAATTAATCTGTTTAATTGCTCTTACAGTGGAGAAGTTAGGCATTCTGTTGGTTACTATGATTCAAGGGTGATTCCAGCCATACCTACAGAGGTGAAAAATCAGTCTTCTTCCCTTGTAAATAATGTAAGCTGCATCTGTGTCTTTGAGCTGTCCGGTCCTTCTACTTGAGGTACTCTGGATACCATTTCTGTAACAAGAGGCCTGCAACTTAATGTGACTTTAGACCTGATCTGAGCAATCTTAATGCACTGTGAAGAAATACCATGCAAAAAAAAAACCTTCAGAAGAGTCTGCAAAGTGGTTTTTTTCTTGAAATGACATGGGTAACATGGTCTGTATGAAAATACTGTTATCCAACAGTTCCATGTGACAAAGCTGAGTCAGCGGACACAAATGGACCATTTTAGCCTTGACAAATCTTTAAATACTTGTGCCTAACTTCTCCCCTACATAATGACACCTATTCACAAAGGACTTTTAAGAGTCTCATACAGAAGTTTTCTTATATGGAAAAAGTGTCTAGTCTTGCAGATTTGTTACATATCTGTTGTGGAGCCATTAGAAGAAGGACATCTGATATATCTATAATTACTGATAAGAACTAATAGCAGCAATGTGAAATGATCACAAACAATGTACCTCCTTTTTTCCTATGAGAATTGTGATCTTGTGGTTACATGAAGGAGTAAGTATTGAGATTCCTGGGGTTTTATCCAAGTTTTAGACCAAGTGATCTCTGTGGTCATATTTTTGGTGCCAAATTTGAGGCAGCTGGATCATTTTCTATAGTGAATGCATCAGGTCAGCTTTCAAACCCCTGTCGAGACAGCCTGATGTGTTGCAGAGCAGATCATCCAGCACTCCTTTTCAGCCCTCTGGGCAAAGCTAAGCTTCAAGAACTGAATTCAAGTTTGCCAAACAATGCTTAAAAAGAAGAATAGGACAAAAAGATATTTCTTTCTGTTGCTTAATTTCTCCATGTGTGTATCAGAGAGGCACCGAAAATTTTCAATCACTTGGAAATGTGGTGCTTCTTTATCTCGATACTGCATGTGTGTTTGTTTTATGACACTGAGAAATTGCACTGCCCTGGTACCTGATAGTGGTGTCACATTGGTTATGAAAAGAAAATGTTATCAGTAACTAGCACTTCAAATAACCACAGCTGCCCTCAGTTAAGCACAGGCCTTGCTGTTGCCTTGGATGCCTGTTTTACAGCAAACTTAATTCTGCCTGATTTTGGAAATTACCAGAAACTCCTAGGTAATGTTCTGTCCTGCATCAGGGATGATTTTGGGCAAGAAATGCTTCGTGCATGTGATGGTTTAACTGTGCTTCCTGAGTCGTGTTGAGCTCTCTTGGAGCCCTGCAGTCCTGCCCTGATAAAGCCCTGTGTGGAGAAATGGATATATGCGCTTAAACAGTTCTGCAAGCAGATGGCTGAATTTCACGTTGCTATCCCAGATGGGAATATCTTAATAGAGCAGCCACCTGTCCAAGTGATCTCAAGGCTCGGGTCAAACAGTAAATTTTATCTAGTCTTTGGCAGGTGATTCCTGCTGTCTCACAGGCCGACAGATGACTGAGTGCCTGCTGAGCTCTTGGTTACTTTTGACTCAGAGCTTACCTGGGTAACTCTTATTTAAACTCACTTAGAAAAGGGGGAGGGGGAATAAAAAAGAAAATATTAAAAAGAGAGAAAGAACAAAAAGTATGAAGGGGATGTTTGCCCCCTGCCTCTCCTGCTGAGCTGAGGCTTTTCCCCTGTTGCAAAGTGTGGTGGCCATGGACTGATGCCCAGGCAGCATCACCTCATAGCTGATGCAGTGTGGAAAGGTTTGTGCCATCAGGAGAGCAGGAGCCAAGTCAAAATGTGGTAAAATTCTTTATTTACTTTGCCAGAAAGCTTGAGAGAAAACCAAAAACTGATTTTCAACCTCTAATGTTATATACTCCTCCTTCTCCTTCATAAAACATTCCAGTTACTTTGCTATCCTTTCTTCCTGAAGGAACATGAATCTTGTATCCATCAGCAGGCTCAAAATTACACTTAATAAATTTTTACCCTAAGTAACTTCATGTTGTTTGTGATTTGGTTTTTTTCAACAAAAGTTTTTACTATGAAAATCAGAAGTACCTCTTCAAGGGGTTAATTTGGGGATTTCCAAGACGCTTTCTGATTACTGAAAAATGTTGGTGGGTTTTTGAATGTGTATTGTAATTGTAGCAATTTGAATAAACTCTGGTCCTGATAACTGTTCCTCTTTGGTGTTATTTCCAAGGGATCATAAATGACTACCAAGCTTGGAATTGTTAGGACTTGAAATCAGATGTTGGGATTTTTTTCTAAAGGATGAGAGTTTAAATGATGGTGCTATGGGGAAAGGCTTAGACTGTATTTTTATGATGCTTTAAAATGTCCAGTGGTCCTATTATTGTAAGTGCTGTGCTGTCACTGAAGTCACACTTTAGATGTACAATTTACAATAAGCACAAAACCCAGCAAAGTATTTAACACCACTGAAGTGGTTGAGTACAGAGCTGTGTGTCAAGCTTCTCACAATCCAGTCTGGAATTACAAAACTAAACCAGAGCGTGTCTGTGGAATCAAAATGTTAGATTGCCTGTAGAATCGCTTGTTTTCCCTGCATGGCTCTATGGAGGTAATGTGCAACATAAATTAAAATAATAGTGGGTTTAGGCAGCTTCTTTTTTCTTTCAGAAAATAGTATGTGGTCATAAAATGAGCAGTGGAGTATTTATCAGTCTGGGAAGGGGAAGCAGGTGATGAATGTCATCAGATCTCTGAAACCAAATTTCAGCTCAGGTTTAAGGTTTTATTGATGTTTTTGGGTTCTTAAGTAATTTGCTCAGCCTGTTCCCAAGAAAGCCTTGCAGTTGACTGTTTAAACTTTGGGAAAGAAATACTTTGTGGTAGTTACAACCACTGGGTATTTCAGGAGGTTGCTGAGACAATTCTGGTGCTCCCATTATGAAATACGAAGTGAGTGGGCAGGAATTGCATGGCAGGGGTTTGGCAACACTTTGCTTACATACACATTTATTAATACTCCTGGTTCCTTGAAGCCCTGAGATCGAGTTTCCAACCTGCTGTTCCTAAATGAGAAAAACCAAACCTGAAAAGGACAGATTAGTTCGCTGAGCCTAATTGGAAAAGCATTTCATTAGAATGGGTCAAAAACCTAGTCAAAGAGGTCTGGCAATCATGGAGTAATGGTACATCAGGGAGTGCTTCTCACTAAGTATGTTCTACCCGTTCCTTAATTAAAATGAAAATGATTTAAACTGCTATTACTTTCCTTTTGCTGTTTGTTTAACATAGTTAATAAAGGTATCTAATTGTTGAAAAACTGACAAGGTTCTCTAATAAAAGGTTGCTCTCAAAAATAGCTCTGATAGCTGAGATCTGAACTTTTGGGGCTTTTTAATGACATCTTTAAAAGTCTTTTGTCACTTGAATTCTTCCATGAGATGCCTTTTCCTTGTTGCTGGACTACCTTCCAAATGGGAAACAGTATCTTTGCTGGAAAATACCTCAACAGGTAGGTTTGTTAGACAAGGAATTAATCTAAGAGGGAAAGAGCAAAAAAACAGAGGCCAGTCTTGGGATTTTAAAAAGTGCTGAGCAAGATTCCTTGGCAAGCATTCAAATGGTGTGCAGGAGCTGGGAGCTGACAGGAGGCAGTGTTGAGGATAGATTCCATAAAACCTGTGATCGCCACGGTTATCAGCAGCTGTTTGCTGGAATGTGTTTTCCTTTCATTGCAGGGTCGGAGGATTACAGGAGTAAATTCACCGGGAAGTGTTTCATGGACCTCGTGTGTCCCGAGAAGTGTCGCTGTGAGGGGACAATCGTGGACTGCTCCAACCAGAAACTCACCCGGCTGCCCAGCCACCTCCCCGAGTACACCACTGATCTGTGAGTGGGGCTCTCCAGGGGCTGCTCGGCTTTCCTACTGGCTTTCCTATTTTTAAAGGTTGTGAAAGGGGCTCAAACAACTGAAGGCACCTCCTGCTTCATCCTTGTGTGAAAATGGGGAAGACCTACAACTCTCATTTCCTTAGTGTTCGTGCCAGCTGTGGGGATGGGGCAGGAGCCATGGCCCCATGCACCAGCCAGCTCCTCTGTGTGTCCTCCTAAAGTCCTGTGGTTCCTTTCCACTCAGCCTTGGAGTCCTCTCTCTTTTCCCTTTGGTCATTTCTATTTAAAAAATGGTTTAACCCTTGTGAGCAAACCTGTGATCAGGAGCTTGTTCCATCTCAGCAATGTGTGCTACTTGGGTGAAATGGCTCCCACTGAAACTAATGTAGTGTTAAGCTGCAAGTAATTTTATGAAATTTATTTGCTTTGTGAGATTCTTCAGAATTCCAAGCATAATACATTGCTAAAGAGAGTCTGAGAAAACATGTTTATTACTTAGTAACTGAAGAATCTGGTTATTTTCTTGCATTAGTAGCCACTTCAAACAGAATTTCCTTTTTTTGTTAGCATTGCACTTATCCTACTTATTCTATTTCAACCCCCATAAAATTTTTTGATCTGAAGTTAAGATAGAAAAACATAAAGGCCTCCAGAAACACAGCAAAGCCTCTCCATAGCAAAATGGAGCTACGTGTAATCAGAGAAAGAATTTTGCATCCCAAGCCTGCCAGGACAGTGGCCTTCACATTAACTTTGAAGACCAGTAGACACTGACAGGAAAGGACCTAAAATCAGATCCCTTCTGTTTGTGTGGCCCACATCTCCCATTGCATGTCCTGCGCAGCTGAGGGAGATTCAGTCACGCAAACAAGGTTGTGTGTAATGGATAAGGTCAGTAATTCCTTATCCCGTGCCTCGGAAGATGAAGCTGCTCTGACACTGTCCTTTGGCATTACGCTCTTAAAGGCATCCTAAGCTTTTGCTCAAGATGCTCTTCTATGTTCCCTTCCTTCAAAGCTGAACTCTTTTAACTGAGAGTGCCTTGCTTAACAAAGGTCGTGGTTCCCTGTGTGGCACAGAGATATCTCTGCAGGCATCTGTGAAGTACCAAATCCCTCTCTGTTTGTTCCCATCAGGCGCCTGAATGACAATGACATTGCTGTTCTGGAAGCCGTTGGACTCTTCAAGAAACTGCCCAACCTCAGGAAAATGTAAGTCTGAGTTGCTTATTGGAACACACACTGCCTTGGATTATAAGGAAGGAGGAAATGATGCTTTTTTACGGTTCAGTGCTGCAGTGGTAGAAATCCTTTTTTTTAATGTGAGTTTAAAGAAACTGAACAAGTTGCCTCGTAGATGGACAGACACAGTTAAGCCACATGGACAGATTAAGATCCCTAGGCTGACATTTCATTGGTTTGTTGGGCTATATTTCTTTAAGTCTTTGAATCATAGAGACTGACAGGAATTCTGTAACAGAGTTTATTCAGATATGCTTATTGTTAGAGAGGACTACAAAGCTTAGCATTTTGGTTTGGTCTTTCAAGTGTATTGCGTGACTCCAACCGGGGTATTTTTTTCAACTAGTTAAAGGAAAATTATATTGCAACATATAGATGATGGCAGCTTCGTTCAGTCATCATTGTTTTAGAGAGGAGAATCAATTAGCAAACTTAGAAATCAGTCATTCAAATATATTTGTGTAATTCTGTTGATAGCCTTAGTCCTGGCACTGTGCAATATATGTATTTAATAAGAGATGTGTTTTGGGAAGAGGATAATATGATACCTCCTGATAGTTTTCAAAATGGATTTTTTCTGAAGTTATTTAAAGTTTTAACCCTATGCTAATGTCTCGTTTAACTGTTTACCTTTAGTAAGATTTTATTGCCTGAATCAAAGTAATTTAGGGTAACCAACCAAGCCAGGCTGTTTATTCTGTATTCATTTCAGGTGATTTCTGCCAGCTGGAGCTTCCCAGCCATTTGAATCCGTGTGAGATCTCAGGGGCCTTGGAGGCATCTGTAGTGGGGTTCTTTTGTCACTCTTATCTCTGCAGGAGTTTCAGATGCAGCACTGCAGGTTTGGGAGGGGGGTTATATTTGTGCAAGTACAGACCACCAGACTTGGGGAATTAATCATAAACATTAGCCTTGTATTTGGTGAATGATCCATAATTTGTAGCTGCAGTGCACTTAGAAAGGTCGTTGACACTGCTGAAGTGCTCTGTTCCCTCTGTAAGAAGGCAGTAAATGGCAATGAAAAATGCACGTTACATAAGTGTGTACACAAACTGGAGAGCACCTGTCCTCATCAAACCTTCAGGACTCATGTTTGGAAAACTGCAGAGGTGTGATAGCTGGAATAATTTCTGTGGTTTCCTTCAAAATTTACTGCAGGCAAGTTTGGTGCTGTCCTTCACATTCCCACCCATCACTCAGGGATGCCTTGATGGGTCTCTGTTGTGAGGCATAAATGCAGCATGAAACTGTTGTGGGAGTTGTTTTAAGAGTTTCTGTCCTGGGAAAGAATTTTTCATCTGCCCTTGGAGGGTGCTGAGAGCTGAGATGTGCGGGCACAGGTCAAACACATGGCAAAACAAGTCCCACCCTACAGCTCAGAAACTGTGTCTCTCAATCTGTGTGTGGCAGGAATGTGGTTTGTGTGGTCTTAATTGGGTCTTATTGCTGCTATTAAATTAAAGAGGAAGAATATTAACCCAGTCCCCATTTTTTAGCGCGTGTAAGGGACAAGACCCTTTACTACTTTTTGACTGACAATATTGACTCTGTCTCATGGTATTCCTTGTCTGTTCAAGTGTTAAAGGCAGGTGGAGGAATCTGTCTGGGAGTTGCACTGCTTCCTAGGCTTAGAAAAACAGCTCAGAGCTTTACAGTGGCAGAACATTTGCCTAAATCACTTTTTTTTCTTTTTTTTCTTTATTTTTTTCTCTGTGATACTCTGTTGTCTGAAAATGAATCTGAACATCTGGATATCTGAATGGGTATTTGAATTCTTGCCCTCCAGTTGTCCTTCAGTTTAGCACTAGTGACAGATCCGTGTCAAGGAACTTTGCAATGAAACATCAGTTGAGGGTGCCGTGGTTCCACTGGGGCTGGCACAGCTCCAGCGTAGTTCCAGGGAGAGAGGAGTTATCTCTGCCTTCCTCTTGATGGATGTTTCACCTTTTAGTGCCTCCCCATCTTATATTATGCTTGTGTAGCTTTGGTTTATAACATGAACACCTTGAGGGGGGTTGTCAATTTGACCCTAAGAAGGATTTCAGACTTTGCTTGTGCTCTCACCTTTGTCCTTTTGTCCCTGGAGCTCCATCAGGTGTCCGTGTCTGTAGGTGTGTTGTGCCATACAACAGTCTCCTGGGTTTTCCAGTTTTGCAAGGGAAGTAGTTATAGATTTGGCATTGAGATAAGATTATCATAGTTTTGAGATGTACAATATTTTTATTAACTTCATTTCTTGGTAAAGGTGAGCTTCCTTCTTTTGTTTAAAAAAAAAAAAAAAAAAAAAACACCACCAAAACTAAAAAGTATCTATCTCTAAACACGAGGAGGACATTTGACAGTTCATTGTTTTAAATCTTGATTGTGTTATAAAGCAAATATGAAAAAAAGAAAAAGGAATTGTCAGACCACCTCTGCAAGAAGTGGTACTGCCAACCCCACCTCTGATATGTAATTAGCTTTTGTGGTGCAGTTTGTCTGTAAATAGTCCTCCTAAGCTGAATCTTATTGTATGATGTGTCAGCCCAGGATTTAATACATTTTAATGCAAAACAAAATTGAATTCCTGATATAGAAATATAAAGGTCAGAGATTCATAATGCAAAGTGTTACCACATTTTATTTAGGAATCAAATAGCTAAAATTACCCTGCTGGTTTTTAAAAGGTTAACCTGTCTGCATATGCCTTAAAAAAAAAAAAAAATCAACAATAATTAGCTGCAAAATCTCATATGCATAATGCTATTTTCCTAACCTAAATTTGAATTCATCTCTGTGGGTGATGCTTTTCACAGTAGAATAAAAAGCTTGATGTAGATTCTTCTGGACAGATTTAACCCAGTCCAGAAGTAATTTTCTGGGTTCTCCAGTGAACTCTGTGTTGCTTTCGTTGCATTCTTACCACATTGCCTCCCCTCACCTTGCAAGTGTAAAGGGAAGCCTTGTCTCTGAAAGCTGAAGTCCCATCACAGTCATTTCCAGGCTCCAAGGACTGTGCCATTAGTATTTTGCAGGGTGGTTAGAAAAGAGCACTTTGAATCTGCTGGAAGTGCAGGAGAAATACAAGGATGTGTTTCTGAGTATTTGAAGAGTGGGAGCAGCTCCATGACGTGGATTTCTGGGAGTATCCCATCCCCAGGGGATAGAAAGGCTCCAGGACCTGCTGCCCTCCAGCCCTGGGAGCTGGAAGGTTCTGCCTTTCACAGGTGGTTATGTTTGCAGTGGGAGATGTTCTCACTCAGCACAGCAAGGTCTCTCATCAGGGATGGTGAGGGGAGACATCACCATCCACAAATTTGGACTTGTTCTTGCAGTAAATACCAAATTCAGCATGAAGCAAACACTGAGGACCCCACAACTCCCTGGGACTACCTCAAGTTGTTAATCAGAGAACAAACCCTCCAGTGCCTGTGGACTCCCATGGCAGTGGGAGCCTGGAGGGGTCTTCTGACCACAGAAAAAAAACCCATGAGTACCCAACTCAGTGGGAACAGATACCCTTGCTTGAGATGGGATGCTGACCCACAGGGAGAGGCTGCAGCCCCCAGATATCATCTCATCTCCAGAGCCTGCTCATGCCCACAGGAAATCAGTGGGACTGACCATTCCCAGTGAGATCCCAGCGGCTGTTTCAGGGGGAAAAAATCAGCAGTGAGCTCAAATTCAGAATATAAAGGGGAACTGCCACCCTTCATGCAGTGCTGGGGAGAAAGGGGACTGACCCCTTTTCTTGAGGACAAGAGCAATAAAAAATATTTACCTCAAAACCCGAAAGGGTCACTTAACAGTTCATTCTGCTAAGTCTTGCTTAGTTACAAAGTGAACATATAATATGGTCTTATAATAAGAAGTGTCAGGCTGTCTTGGCAATAGCTGGTACTGCCAACCCACCTCTAGTATGTAATTGCCTTTGGAAGCTTAATGTGTAAGTATTTCTACTGGATTCAATTGTATGGAGTGTCAAGACAGTGTGAGACCAGGATTTGAAGCATTTTGCATGTCAAATAAAATTGAATCACGATAAAGTTTGCAGACTTGGAAGTCAGTTTCGAAACCAGAATCTCAAGTTTCCCAGGGAGGCAGAAGTAGTTTGTGTCCTTGGAAAAGGATGTTACCTGCTGTTCTTTCCCCTGAGCATGAATTTTTCCATGGCAAATGAGGTTGCAGTCAGCTGTCACTTGTTATACAGAAACAGACTTTATTTTCTGGAAAACGTATTGCAAAGTGTGTTGTGGTTCGTGGCATTTGGGCTCCTCATGCACCTCCCTTTTTTCTTCAGTGAGGCCATCAATCTGCTCTGCTGAATGAGTGTAGGAGTGTCACTGGGTGCAATTCACTGTCTCTCTGTAGTGTTTAAGACTTTCAGTGCCATCCTGCTTCTGAAAACAGCTCACACTATAAAAACCAGCCAGACTGTTGGTGAAGTCTGTAAAACCTTCTCGGCATCTTGCTGAGGAATGCAGCAGCACTGGGCTTTTCTTCCTGGCAAATACTTGGAGATTCCAAACACATCACCAGCTGACAGAAATATTCTAGGGAAATCCCACTCAGAACATGCTGGTTTTTATAACGAAAATACAGGGTTTGAGGTGAGACCAAGCAGAGCCTTTGCAGTCCTCTGGATGGGAAGGTGTGTCAGTAACTCAGCAGTGAACACCACCCTGGAATGTTACCATTGAGCCAGCAGGTACAGCAGGATTGCTTCTGTTAACTCTGAATAGAATCCAACTCGGTCTGTGCTGAACTTATGAGATCAACAGAAATAATATTATTATAAACTTTAGCCATAAAGTAAATGCAATCTGTCTGAAAAGTGAGCTGTGTGAACAGTGTCACCTTGATAGCTTCTTGATCTGTTCATTTCCTTTTCACAGCCCCCCATAAAGTAGACCCAGGCTTTCTGAAAATTTATTTTGACCTCTTGCCCAAAATAAAAGTCTGGAAATAGGATTAAATGTTATCACCAGGGTAAATCAGGGAGTCCTTGCAATAAGCCTTCATGAGTGACCAGGTTGACTACAGGCTCCCATTTGGGTCCTGCCAGAGGGCAGGAATCTCAAGGCTCACTTTTTTTTCCACTGTCTTCCAGTATTTCAAGAAGAATTCCTTATAGAAGCTTAGTGTTGCAAGAGGCTGGGGCTTTTCAAGAAGTGGGAGTTTGCTACGAAGTCTGTCAGTAATTTGCTTCTGCTGAAACAATTCCTTGTCAAATGTGATGATCACATTTGAAAGATTCTTTTAGGGCTGGGAAGGACAGAATCAGAGGTCTCTGAGTTGCAGAGCAGGAAAAGTTTCCAGTGCTTTCATTTTTCAGGCTTTGTATCAGCTGATTATTTTTGTTGGTAATTGCAGACTGAAAAGTGTGTGATTTCTCATGTTTATTATTGTAGCTGTTCAGACTTTAGGTGGAAACTCTTTTTTTGGTGAATGAGTGTTGTCATCTACCCTTTTTTTTTTTTTTTTTTTTTGGTGCCATTCTGATACAGGGAAACTTTAATTCAGGAAGACAAATAACAAAATCCAGGCTGGCAGAACATCTGCTTTGACAACACTCCAAGCAGGTTTGCAGGGCAGTGTCATCTTTATCTATTTATTATTGCAGAGCTTGTCTTTCCTCTGCCTTGCAACTTTGATTTCACTGTAGCATTTAATCTTGGATTTTCAAATCTTTTGCATGGGAAAGGTATATATAATTGGCTTCTCCTGAAGCTGCTGGCATATTTTTGGACAATTTTGTGTCATTGATCTGATCAGGCATTATTAACTCAAATGAGTGAAGTTGCCTATCAGAAGTTCTTTGGCAGCAATTAAAATTCAGATGGTTTGCATTGCATGAAGGTGCCAATTCCCTTGCAGATGGTGACCAGCCTCTGTCTCCAAGATTTGCTCTTTCTTGCCTTCAGCATCTAATAGGCCATTAAAATCACACCCATGTTTTAATATATGCAACTAAATGTCTTTTAGATGGTAAAAAGTAACTGATAAAACTTCATAACTACAAGTGTAGGTCAGTGTGCAATCTGTGACTTGAAAGTCAAAGTCTGTCTAATAAAGTAACTCGCCCTCTCTTCCCACCACAAACATTTACTTATTTATTCATTCATTTTTGTGCAAATATGCACTGTGGCATGATCTTTACCAGGAAAGGGATCTGTGGGAGCATATATTTATGCCAGCATTCAGAAGAGATGCTGAGCTATAAACATTTCCACTAGAGAAATAGCTGAGCCCCAAAATTAAATGCATATGTCAGAATATCCTTCCTTGACTTGCTCTGACACTGAACATAAACTCTTCATGTGAGCGTTAGCACAAAGCACTAAACTTCTGGAAAGCAAAATCTGCATGTAAGTATTTCTATATGGTTTTATGTTATTTTTGGCTGATTGCTGGCGTGCTCCTATTCTTTCTGATCACAGAATGCACAAGAGGTGATGGGCCACATGCTGTAGGGCCCACTCTCTGACAGTTGTTCAGCAGACATAAACCAGTGTACTCCAGTTTCCCACATGAAACATATCTCCAAAACTCAATTTTTTTTTTTATTAAGTGATGACTTCTGCAAAGAGCAAGACCCATATTATTTCTATCTGAGGCCAAGCTGTCTCTTGCCATGCCTTCTGTCAACTTTTATCCCAGTAAGATTGCCAATTCTTCTGAGCAGAGTAGCCCAGGTGTTAATCTGATACCTTGTCATTTGTTTTATATCACCTGGAATTGGATTTTGAAACTATTACTCATGCTGTGTGTGTACTGGGATCATTTGTGGAATAATGTGCTATTCAGCATGAGTAATGGTGTTGGAATTTGGCATCTTCTTGGGAGCAAGAACGTGTCTTGTGCTTTCCCTCTTTTGTTGTGGATAGTGAAACAAAGAATAGTGTTTCCTGTCATAGACCTGAACAAATAGGATTATTCATCATAATCTATACAGGACATCATGGGAGACACTTAAAGGACGGAGGCCCAAAGTTTTAACGTGTTTAAGGCCTTCTATATAAATGTTTTAAATAATTAAATGCCATTTATTTTTATGCATCTCTAATGGCACTTTTATCATTCAGAAATTGTCTGTTCCTCGGGGTTTTCACAAATATGAAATATTCAAAAGATTAATTTTGCATTTCAGCAGAACTTCGTTTGACTTTGTAGATCAGAGTTTTCTGTGTTGATCTATAAGCAAACATCTTGAGGTGGTATAGGCAGAGTAAATACTTAAAAAATAATTCTGTATATTGCAGTGGCTGTGAATTGACAGTTAAGTGATACTCATTTCACTTTGATTGACAGTGTTAGATTTAAGTGCCTGGGAGTTGGTGAGTGCACATACTGGAATTTGTATCACATACATGGGACACTAAATAAAAATGGTCAATATTTCCACGTGTGACACCATTTCAGTGGTAGTAACGTTACCTGATCCTCACCAGATGAGAGCATAGTCCCAAGCTTTGCCCATAACTTCATGGACATGAATCAGAGGTTAGAAACTCTCACTTATTGCATTTCTGAGACACAGATAAGAAAGAACCACGAGATGTTAAAGAGCTGGTAATTCCATTAATTTAAATTATCTTGATGTATCTGATTAGCTGTGCTTTCGATGTGGTTTCTGGATGCTCTCCTTGCTGAATGAGTATCTCTTTAGATAACCACTAAAAAGGCACAGATTCTTCCTATCCTCCTCCTTCCACTGTGGTGATGTATGTTTGGAATGGAACACCACTGATTTCCTCATTGTGACTGGTTGTGTCCTTCCAGAAATCTGAGCAACAATAAGATCAAGGAGATCCGAGAAGGCACGTTTGACGGAGCTTCAGGAGTGCAGGAACTGATTCTGACAGAGAACCAGCTGGAATCAGTGCATGGACGGATGTTCAGAGGCCTCACAGGCCTCAAGACCTTGTAAGTGCAAAGACGTGTCTTTGTTCCTTTCTGAGTGCAGTGGGAGTGCCCAAGGTCGGGGATTCCTGCTAAAATATCTGCTACTAGACAACAGGTGCTACTGCTGGCTCTTGTAGCACGGTTATGAAGCCCTCAGTATATTTCTAGCTCTGGGCAGGTTTGAGATTTATCTGCTATATCTGTAAAATAAACAGATTTTCAAGAATTTCAGCAGCAAAATGAAGGTGAACCTGGCGTGTGCTGAATCTGTGCACTTTTAATCATTGAATGCTTCTGTTATTTTGTTATTTCCTGTGGAAACAAGGCACGTGGGAATGTGTGCTCTCTTGTAGTCCATCCTCCCACTCCTCCTCCACCCAAACTGAAATTGTTGATCTGCTTTTAAAAAGCCTCAAAGTGGAACAGGAGCTGACAAAGGTGGTGGGCACTCACTCTGAAGTGAAAAGTACCTCTCTTGCATAGTCTACCCTGCTCTAGAAAGCAAGCACTTGACTAAGTGAGGGCTGTCAGTAAATAGACTCTAGGAATCAAAATGCAATTAAAATCTGCCATTTATTCATTAGCCACAAACGCTTCTTAAGTTGCAAGGTATGGCAAAATTACTGCAGCGCTTACTCAAGCATAAAGAGAAATTCAAGTTTCATTTCAAGGACTTTGGTCTGTAATGGCAAATATGGAACTTTTGCTGTTCCTTTAACATTTTTTTTTTTTTGGTTACAGCCATCTGTTCTTTAATTTAATGTATGCACTTTACTAAGGGATTTGAAAATACTGCCCACAGATATTAAATTAATTTTTATATCATAAAGCAGCCCGTGGCAATGCTCCTAAACAAAATTCAGCATTTTTTAATAAAAAGATACTTAACATTCAAGCTATCCTGCTGACCTGACCTACATTTCCCCCAGCTGATAAAGCAGTCCAAATATACACAGCATGATATGAGGATCTGTGAGTCTAAGTTTTCTTTCAGGAAGGGCACACGGTGCGTGGTGAACCATGATATGAAACCAAAGGGTTTGGCTTGAGGGGCATATATTGCTATCCATTAATTGACTTTCTTTCAGCATTAGAATAGTAATCTTTTGCAAAGGGGCCACATTCATAAGGGTCAGGGTCCAGCTTTTAAAAGACTGTATATTCCTGAAATGTAATAAATCACTGTGCAAGATATTTTGGTGTCCAAATTTGGACAGCTCAGTACTCCACGTGTAGAGTGTGTGTCTCTATGTCCTGTGAGTCTTTCCTGACACAGTTTCACCCCCACCTGCAATCCCAACATTACTGAGAGCGTGGTGCCTCTGATGGTAACTGCACAGAGAGCAGTAACGCAACAGCATCGTGTTCAGCCTTCAAACATGATCCACTGAATTTCTTCCCAGCCATGTTTAATCTCTGTTTGGTGTTTTTCAGGTATTACTGATGTAGCACTTAAATGCCCAACTGGCAGATACCAATCTGAGATTTAAATCCAGACTCCTCAGGGAGCCTGAATTTTCGTTGTCCACTGCATGAATTTGATACCAAGATGTTTGACCCTCCTCGATTTGGAGGATCAATTCACTGGAACAGCAGCGTGAGCTGCTTGTATTTTGTGGATTTTTGCTTTAATTACTGAATAATATTTCAACTAAGTAGGAAAATCACAACAGTGCAGTGGTGTTTACAGACCCAGATATTGATTGGCACACAGTGTAACAAATACACATGAGCCTTTTTTGCAGTGGAGTGAAACAAGATACTCCAGTCTTTCAGATTGATTGGGCTCTGTCGTGGAGTTCATTGTTACCATAACAACTCCGAGAGATGTATCTTCCAAAACACAGCACTGATTCATCTGGTACAAGCACTGAGCAAAAATCATTTTATAGGATGATTACTGTTTTTCATCTTCTCAATTAATGATGATAATGACATTTCAGAGCTTGTGCTAGGTCTGGGAATCTTTCCTAAGCTGTTCCTTGATTTCTGCTGAGGATGCTGTTCCCTTCCATACTCTTGCAGTGTGGATTACAAAAAACACCCATGATAGTAGGAGAAGTAATGCAACCAGTATTGTTACTGTCACATACTTCTGGCAGTCTTTCTCAATTCAGTTCAGAAATATGTCCTAACTTATGATTATCCTGACTCTGATATTTACTAAATTGAGCCTTTAATTTTTATTTCAAGTTTGTCACTAGTCATAATTGTAATAACATACTGCATTCAGATGTGGATCTCCCCATCAGCTTCTAATGTGGTGTGGAAGAGATGTGTTTTAAATTCACGAGACTGTGTTTACATGACTCCAGTCCTCCTCTGGCTGGGTTCTCCTTCAGCAATCAATAAAAACAGAGTGCTTTCCAAAGCATCTCTTGATGCCCTTGGTAAAGGACCTCCTATCCTGAAATTATACCCCCTCCCAGTGGTTCTTAATTCCCTGTTTTAATCCTTGCAGGATGCTGAGGAGCAACTCTATCAGCTGTATAAACAACGACACCTTTGCTGGCCTGAGCTCAGTGAGGCTCCTTTCTCTGTATGACAATCACATCAGCACTATCACCCCTGGAGCCTTCAGCACTTTAGTCTCCTTGTCTACAATGTAAGTCATCTTTTTATGGTACAAACACGCCATGATGCTGTTACCCCGTGCTTTCCTTTTGAAAAGACAACCTTTCAGCTTATATCACAAACCTTATTCAGGGAAAGAAAACTCCGTCCCAGGTTGGGGGGATACAAGGTGGGATTTAGAAAAACATTTGAATTGCTTCAGCTGGAGTGGCTGACATCACTTGGAAGGTTGGCAGCCTCAGGCAGGATGACTGTGGGTTTTGCTGTGTCGTAGCCCAGTGCCATGTGCTGCAGAAGTTCACATAAAACAATCTCTGCAGGTTCAGAAGGATGTAGCTTATCACACCCTTCAGCTCCCTGAAGCTGCTTTAGTTTCAGTAGAGTCTGATTTTGTGAGAACAGCTTTCTTGGATTTCAGTTAAATTAGCTAGATATCAGAAGAAATCTACTAGCTAATGCCTAGATTTTCAGAACAAGTGAAGAACACAGAACAGTCAAGTCTCACTGAATGTGAATTTGGAAATCCCAACCTGAGCTTTCTCTTAGTTTTCCTATACTTCTCATTCTTCCTTTGGAGGAATGTTTCTTACATACTTTTAAATACTTTTTGTAGTGTGAACATTTTAATAAAGTGCAGACTGACAGATATGGAAAGAAAGTCTGCCCTTTGTTTCCAGCTGTGAGTGGGAACCCTGGTGTTGCTGTTAATGGAAATTGTCTGTCCTGAAAATACTGCCTGATTGTCCAGTCAAAATAAACTAGTGGTGCTATTGCATTTCAGGTTTGGAAAACATTCCCCATCATGTTTGGGGGAAGAAAGAAGTGTTGAATCTCAGCTGCTTTGTTGCTCACACTTTCGTTTTGTTGTTACAACTTTTCACCAGAAAATCAGTTATCATTTTGGCATTAGCTCCGTGCAGCATAAGGAACACAGACTTTTCATCCATTTACATCCTGTGATCCCAAAAGTCTCCTTGAAATTGATGGGCAAAAAGAGAAAAACAACCAGATTGTTTTTACTGACTGTTTTCAAGTCAGTGGTCAAGGCAAGTGGTAGTTGCTGAAAGCTTGTTCTCACTGTGCTGCAGGCTCCTTGTACAGTTTCTGTGCCTCCCTCCATGATTCCTTTTGTACTTGGGACTCTCTGAGTCAGTCTATAAAGTCTTGCATAGAATTGTGTGTGTCATGTTTTGTTAATAGCCTATTTTCTTATTTTTTCAGCTGTGGAAAAGAGATTATTGCACTTTCTAGCAAGAGCAATTAAAGCTGCTGCTAATTAGAATGCATTGCTTTGGCACTGACTTGTAATCCTGTTGGTTCCCGGCTGTGTCTTGATGAAAAACTTTGTTCTTTGCCACATTTTCATTCTGTGTTTGATCCACAGACAGAAGAGGTGTGCTTTTGAATTCCTTAGACGTTGGTTTAAGGCTATGGTGATTTTTCACATATAAATGCAAAATTCAGCTGTGTTCATTTCCCAGCAGTTCTCTGTTGTAGGTGGATATATCATATGACAACACTGCTTGAAGTTTGATAGTATGACTGCTTTTCCTGTTCAACCCACACTCTGGGAGTTAATTGGGTATTGTAATGGCTTTATTTTTACATCTATTAATATGAGCCAAAAATTCATGCAAAATTCCATTTCCATACTGGCATACTTACAGCACTAAAAAATATTGCTCCTTTTGTTCTTACTCTTTGTGACTCAGCCTCATTGATATTCTCAAAACACGGACAGCTCTGACAATAATACCCTGACTAATGCTTTCCAATAGGGGAAGAACATCTATTTTGTAAGTTACTGATAAAAGAATAGCGGGTTTTTATTTTTTATTAGTCAAACTAGCTACTGTAGCATCTTAATTTGAAGTGTGCTTGGACTTGTGCATTCAGAGAGTTCAGTCATGTCTTTCAGTCCTTACACAGCCAAGTGGACATATTTGCAAGCAGAACTGGTTTTCCATGGATTATTATTCTAATAGCTGCATGGAGCTAATGCCAGAATGATAACTGGTTCATCAGAATGACATGCCACTATTCTAGTATAAACTTAATCTGAATTCCAGAATATATTTCCAACCTAACTTCAAAAAAACATCCAGATGTGTTTCAGCATGTTTTTTTAACAGGTCACTAGAATCCATTTAAATAGTTAATATTCTATGGCTTCTTTGCAATTTTAAAGAGACACTTGTAGTGGGATATGCATATTTCATTCCTCAAGACTTCTATTTCCCCTTGATTTTAAAAATATGTGTGTGTCCTTGAGTAAACGCTCCTGAGTTTACTGATAGTACAACATCTCTGCCAGAAGTTTGATTGCTGTATTTCTGTTTGAGTGTCCCCATCTTGTGTGTAGGAACTCTGATTATTAATGAGGAATTTTTACATCAGTTTGTCTGCCCAGCATTACTGTTGGTGATTTGAGAACTCCACTTGAATAGCCAGATTGGACAGTAAAGCTTTTGCATATAATCAGCCTTTCCAGACCTTACATTTCAAGCCAGGTAGGGAATCTCTTTTCCCATGTGATACTTTGAAGAGAGCCTTGATCTTACATTTTAATCAAAAGTTGCATCACAGATTCGCCATGGAAGGAGCATTTATGTATAGACATGTACACTGCATTAAAGCAAAAAAAAAATCTCTGCTCTGCAGTTGGAAAAGCGTAAAATTTAGATGCTGCAAAAGTAACAGGAGGACGTGTGCAATTGCTGACGAGATAAATTTGTCCTTTTTTGCCCAGAGTTACTTGAATTCCAAAATGGTAGATTTGCTTATTTGTTAATTTTATATGTAGCAGCCCATTTATTTCTTTCTTATTTCCTAAGGAAAGCAAAATCCAAATTCTAACCTAGGGATTTAATGAATGTGGTCATATGTTAACCTGTGTTTGCCAAGAAGAAAATGAGGGTTTGTGGATAGTTACTGCTGCTCAGCAGCATATCAAATCAAAGCAGTCTCTCCTCTCTAGACAGGGATAATTACTATTTTTGGAGCATTTTCTCAATTAAATGATGGAATGCTTTTGAAGCTTTTTGATATGTGTCAGTAAGATGCTCTCTAGATGTGCAAAATGTCCCTTACAACCCAGAGCTGCTGGTTTTCCAGAAAGCTGACTTTACACACCTGCTGTTTGTTTCCAGTGCTGGATTATTTAATTCTGGGGATTTGTGTCACTGAGGTGGTTCTGTGAACACGATCCCACTCCCTTCCACCGGTGGAACAAACGGCCTTTGAAGCGTTGGCTCCCTCAGCGTTGGCGGTTCAGACATTTGGTTTGAGCACTCTGTTCATGCCAAAGTTTATCAGCGTGGAAAATATACAAGGCATCCTGCATGTGGTCCCATTATGGATTAGAGAAAAAGGAAAACAATTCAGAAGGAAAGCAGCTAGAATTAGAGTCGTGCTTTCAGGGCTTTTCTGCACCTCCTGTCTGAAAACTCCCGTGTAACCTCTTCGTTCCCTCTCCTCTCTGCAGCAGGTTTGAATCCTACTCAGCGCAGAGCAGGTTGAGTGTTGTTATTGTTGAACGTTATGCTGAGTTTTCTGCTCCCCCCAGCTCTCCTTCTCCACAATGTCCAACAGCCTGTGCTAGATCCACATGTGATTACAGCCCGGAGCTCCAGGCCAGCAGTGATTGAAATGGGCTGCTCTGCAGTGCCAAGAGCAGCTGTAAATCATATTGTGGCTCTGTGAAGTTGGCCTAGAACCTATAGAATTTAGGAGTTGGTTTGGGTTTGTTTTCTCGCTGCCGCACCTCAACTGAGCCATATGTTTTTGTCTTCAGCACTATTGTTTTCTGAAGGAATTCCTTGGCTGAAATTCTAGTGTGGTTTTGACTTCATCTTTAGGTTTGTGAAAGTGCATTGCAAGTGAAGAGTCCTCAGCTACTACACCTGCATTTGAAGTACCTGTTTCTTGGGCCTTCAAATTTCTTGACTTAAAGAAATTCTTGATTTAAAGAAATTTCATTATCCTCTTTCTTTCTGTACTACCAAAATAATAACTCTCTGACATACTCACACATGACATGCAAATTCCATCAGTGTGAGTTTAGATACCTCATTTTCCATACACGGGCTCTGACAGCTCATTTTTCTTCAGTGAGGCAACCTCAGACTGAGGCTGTTTGTTCTCCCTGTCTCTGTACATAACATAGTCAGCTTCCCCTTTTTTACAATTCAAACAGTAAGTACTTTGGTTTATAAATATATCTATACATATATGCATAGATATATAAATTACAATCCTAGTCCTAGTATAAAACCTGTATAGAACTTCCCTGATCTGAAGGATACAGGAGTGATCTCACAGAAACAGATGGCAGGGAAGAGCCTGGACTTGGAGCCCCTCATCTTTGTGTAGTTATTTCAGTATTTCTGTATGTTCATGTGTAATGCAGTCATGTCTTGTTCCCTTGCAGTAATTTGCTGGCTAATTCCTTTAACTGTAACTGCCATTTGGCCTGGCTGGGAAAATGGTTGAGGAAGAAGAGAATTGTCAGTGGAAATCCACGCTGCTTGAAACCCTTTTTCTTAAAGGATATTCCAATCCAAGATGTAGATGTCCAGGACTTCACCTGTGATGGTAAGAAAATCCAATTTAATTTGGCATTTGCGATGATGTTGGCAGCTCTGTGTGAGAATGTCCCTTCATATCAAATAGTACTGCAGGAAAAACATTTCAGTTTAGTGATGAGCAAGACAGCCACCTAGAGATGATCATTGTTCTCTATCAGGAGTTTATTATTAGTCTTGGTTTCCAGTTACTGAATTTATACTATCTGCACCTAAATATAAAAATGAATTTATTGTAGATAAATTTTCTGCTTTGTCTAGTCCTGTGTATAACCCTGGGCCTTCCTTACACTTCCTTATTTATACGCTTAGTTAACACTCTGAAGCTAATGACAGTGGTGCTTGCTTGGCAAGTGTTTTAGTTTTGGATAATGTTCATGGTCACCAGTAACAGGTATGAAAACAGGGAATTAAAAAAAAAAACTTGGATATTATTTTAAATGACATAGTGATGCTTAATACTTTGTTAGGTCTATATTTAAAAGAAAATACCCTGACATCTCTTTCATTCTCCAGTTTTTTTGACTTCTGATCAAGCAGATTGTAGAGAAAATAGTAAGAAGAAAATTGCCTGATGACTGCACTGCTAACTTGACGTGTAGCATGTTAAGACCAGATAGGCTGGAATTGCAGTTAATCATAGCTCCAAAGAGACCATAAGAGTGATAGAAGTTTCCTACTAAGAGTAAAAATTAACTCCTATCCTAGTTGAACAATCTGGCAACAGACCCAGGTACTTGAGCTCAAAGCTCAAGGGACCCAAGTTTAGTCATTAAAGAATAATTTACTTCTGGTTTGGGAGGGAAAAAAAAAAAAAAAAAAAAACCAAAAATCCTGGTCCCCAAAATGACATTTCAAACTTGTGAGGAAAAAAAAAAAAATCCTCGTGCCCAAGATGTGATTCCACACTTGGGATCTTTCTGTGTCATTCAGTCACTCAGAGCTGTGGGGAGTGGAAGGCAGTGGTGGCAGGGTGTGAAATGCAGAACACAGGGGAAAATTAAATATGCTGAACAAGCATGCTCTTTCTGCAGGTTTATGAAGGACTTTGAATTTTGTTTCCAGTCATTAAGCTCAGCTGGGGAGAAAACTAAAAATAAAAAGTCTTCCCTGTTCACCTCTAGGCTGGTGGTGCCTCCCCAGCCCCCTGAATGCAAATGATTCCCTACCCGTGCAGTCCTGGGGTCATTCTGTTATCTTATACCAGGGCTTCCAGCCTTGTTGTTTAATCTCAGTGCTTGTGGGTGCCTCCAGCAGAGAGAAGAAAGGAAAAGATCTGCCTCAATTAGTCCTTGCATGGGTTGAAAGGCAGGACCGGGCGGCACAGACAACAGCAGGCTGTGTGCTCCGCGTCTGTGCTGGGCAGCCCCGGCTGCCTGTGCTCACACACAGTTGTGTGGTTCCTCTCCCTGTCATCCCGGGAATGTGCCACTAAGTGTTTCCTTTCGTGTGCATCGTGATCCTGCACCACGCATGTGCCTTTGTGTTCGGCAAAGCCTGTTGCTTTTGGGGAAAATCCACGCTTTAATGTTCTCAGCTTCAAAGGGGTTGGTTTCTTCTGCAGAAACCCTATTGTTCTTCAATTAATAGATTTAATCTGGTGTTTATGGACCTTTGAAAGCGCTTTTGGAGAAAGTAGATATTTTTATGTGTGCACAGATGGATTGCCAGCGGTTGGGAGTATTCTGCTTCACGTTGTTGTTTGCCTGGCTATCGTTGTCAAAAACAACAATTCAGATGATAAACAAAGTGCCAGGCTGACTTTAAAAAGTAAGAAAAAAAATAAACATCTAAAAGCTGAATTTTAGAGAAGTCTTCCTAAAGCAGGGTAGGTAGTGAATATCATTTGTTTAGAGGAATTTAAGGGCATCTTAAAGGGTGGTCTTAAATTCATCATAATTCATTAAATTAATGGTCAAGTTCTCCATTTTCGCTGGGACATTGTGGATGGGGGAAGGATTTGGGATTCCCACAACTGATTGGACTGCAGTTAGCAGAATCACAAAGTAGATTCTCCTTAAAAATGTGGCTATTCAGTGTATGAACTGGTCATGTTGCTTGAAGGACCTGTACGAAGGCTGACCCAAAGTGCTGGATCTACTTTAAAATATTGTGATGGTTCCCGTGGATTCAGGGGTGCCCCTCCTTGGTCCTTGTCAGCAGTTTTGGCTTCAGAGGATGCAATTTGGGCTGGAAAACTGACTTGCTCGTATCCCACCTCTGTCCCTGTGCAGGTAATGATGAGAGCAGCTGCTTGCTTTCACCTCCTTGTCCTTCCCAGTGTACCTGCGTGGACTCCGTGGTTCGCTGCAGCAACAAAGGGCTGCGGATGTTGCCCAAAGGAATTCCCAAGGACGTGACTGAGCTGTAAGTTACCTTTTACCTCGCCCCTTTTCATCAGAAGTTCATGAAATTACATCATACTGAGGCTTTGTGGGTCCCTGGGGGGGTTTGCCTTTGACTTTAGTGATTTTGTGCTTTGGTGCTTCCCATATGTTCTGACCGTAATTTCTGTACTTATTTGTCCCTTGACTGAATAAATTGCTCTGTAATGGGAACAGGGTTTATCTGTCCTTGTATCCATTAATTCTGGGTGTAGGGAACAAATGCATGTATTAGTATCAGGTAATCCTATAGCACTTCTGCAAAGCCCAAGCTCACAACAGGCAGTTCGAAAGGATGATGGAAATAAGTTCCTGAGTTACGCAGCTGTGAGCTGATTATCCTCTGAGGAGATTGAAAAAAAAAAAAAAGGATAAAGTAAGCTGGTGATGGAAACAAGGAATTCTTTTCTCCAAACCTCATGAAATGGCTAAAATAACAGACAATTAGATTATATGGTAAAGTAAATTCATCCTAGTTGAGAACCATCTTCCTTCTTGTCTTTTGGTCTACTTTATACTGGATTTTCTTTCCATGGAAAGAAAATACGCTGGTGGAACTGCTTGGCTTAAACAGCTGGCAGTAGAAATACTGAGCTTTTCCCCTTTAGGCCCTTGTTCAAATCTATCCCAGGTGAGTCGTTACTGAAACTTGTTACAATCTCATCAACATTTCTATGTGAAAATAATTAGTTGAGTTAGTTGTGTGTTCAGTGAATTTTATAATGAATTAAAATCTGATTCTGCTATTTCCTAGTGTCTAGGATTATTTTTACTCCCTTCACAGTGGGAGAATGGGGTTTACACTATTTTTTGTACCAGTGTTTTAGTCAAATATAAGACTTCGTTGCTGAATGAGAAGAGTACTGGAAGTGCTTGTGGGAACTCAAATTAACATGGAAATTTTGCATTAATGAATACATCCTTGGAACACCATTGACCTGGGCATGGTTAATAGTGGTTTGCATTAAAAGCCACATCCTGGCCTGTAATCCCTTATATGTTGCCATCAGTGGTAAAAAGTCTGCAAGGTGGTTTCTGCTCTGCTCTTGTTCAGGTTTCATTGCATTCAAATGGGACTTGCCAACACTAAGGTATCACAGATGTTACTTTGATTTCCACTGCCACACTGAGGAATTTTTATGTTTGAATTTTGCATATTGAGTATTACTGATATTATCTGATACGCTGACAAAGTAATTTTCACAAAAAGAGTGAAATTAATCTCACATTCTTGAAGACTGCTATATTTCTTAACTGTTTCTTGGCAAATGAGGCAATAGCCTGGAACTGAGCAGTTTGAGTTCATAGGAGTTTACGTGACTGTCTTCTTCAGTAGGAGCCTCTTGGCTGTGCAAAACTCTAGTGCAGCTTTCTGCTTTCCATCCAGAAATGTGTCAGCGGAACACAGTCAGCCATGGACTGCCTGGCTCTGAATATTTCATGTTCTGCAAATATAACCATGAATCTGTCCCAGCTGTCTCAAAATTCAATCCTGATCTCGCTCTCAACCAACAAAAATTGAGCTCCTTATTTGTATCTATACCAAAAGATGGGCTGCAGGTACTGAAGCAAGAAATTTCATGTGTTTGTGGAAACTGTGACAAGAATGAAACAAGTAAACAACAAATAATCAATCTTACTTGCCTTTCTTCTGCGTCCAGATTGAGATAAAGATGTTGCCCATCATCTAGAAAGGACTATATCATGCAGATTCCAAATTACCAGTGTGAACTTACACGTTTTAATTGTTCTGTGTTTGAGAATTGCTATTGTTGATGTGATGAACAGCATCTCCTGTGCAATTGCACCTCTTGCCCTCCTAGATCCCTTGAAATGTCTCCTGAGCCTGGAGTATCCTCTGGAGGCTGTTTTGTTTCTGTGGTGACAGTGGATATCTGTTTAGCACTTGAAACCAGAATGCTCCTGAGGCACCTGTTGCAGAAGATCTCTAGAGAGAGCCACAGCAGCCTCCAGGGCAGGGCTGCTTTCACCTTCCTCACTGGTACAGCCCTCAGAGGTGCTCAGAGACTCTAAAAACCCTTCCCATGTTACCACTGCCCCCACTCTCCTTCCTCACTCCCACGTTCAGGACCTCTGGGCAGTGTCCTGGGGTCCCTGTGCTCCCACCAGCCACTCGCCTGACCCCACGGTCGCTGAGGACAGAGGTGGTGACAAGGGGACAGCAAGGACATGAAAAACCTCTTGTCCTGGTGGCCCACAGCCCCCTCCCTGCAGGAGACCTGAGCAGGGATAGGATTCAGGGGAGCATTTTAGTGCAACTTTTATGAATGCACCAGCCTGACATTTATAAACTTCCCCTGTTGACGTGTTCATTTACCGGGCGCATGAGCTGCAGCGCTTTTTTATTAAACTGCAGTGTTTTTATACAACATGGCTTAAGGGAAAAGAGCTGCCACGTATCTAGTTAAACCAGTCTGTTGTGGCTGAATACAGCCTTCTCAGAAGTTCTGTTAAATTCTTTTAGAGGTCTTAAAATAGTCTTAAAACAGGAATCCTTTCCTTGTAACAGCTATTAAATAGCAATGTGCAAAACCGAACATCTCTCTTGCACAGGCGCACAGGGGAAATGTTACCCTTTCTGGGTCAAATTTCACTGTACCTAAGCTCAGCAAAAAAAGATCACCAGCAAAGTTTTATTGCGTGGTGGACTGGAGACACCGGCTGACTCCTTCCAGCTTTCTTCCAGAGTTTCTGGTTTGGATGTATATGCAGACAAAGCATGTGAAAACCATCATCTCCTTCATATTTAGAGCTTGGAATGACAGGAGACATCCCTGGGTTTGGTTTGTACCACCCCTGGGAGGAGGGATTACCTTGGCAGGGAAGGCTTCCATCTAGAACAGAGTTAAAAAGACCACTAAGTCTTCTGGCTTTTTAGAGGAATGATGATGCAAGAAATTTCTAATTCCCATTTAGTCCCTCACAAAACACCATCATCATGGGCAAGCTTTGTTCCAGCTTCTTGGGAGTACGAAAATAATTTGTTGTTTCTTGCAAATTCCTTCGCTGTATATTTACAAACTGCCTGCATTTTTTTTCCCCCACTGCTTGCCCTGAAGAGAAGTCTTGGGTTTTTTGGCCATACTGAGTTTTCCAGTCCAGATGTTCAGAAGTAAAACGTTCGTGCAATGAGCTGGTTTGGAACTTCGCCTCACTGCTGCTTAGTGTTTTAGGTTTTCCTTTCCTTCTGCTTTTTTCCCCAAATCTGTTTGAACCAACCTTCCCATGCTCTTCTTCCTTTTATCTGTTACCTCAGTGTGTGAACACTAGTTTGTTTTTTTTTTTTTCCTTTTTTTTCCCACAAAAGTGTAGTCTATTTCTAATAAAGTCTTATCTGACAGCATCCAACTGCTTTTATGGACCTACAGCAAATAATATTTTGCACTGGGGAAAAACATTGGAGGCAATTATGTGGACGGCGTGTGCACAAGCTGTAACATAATGAGCGTGGTGTGTTTTAGAATAAATATGTACTCATCATGTCATCTTTAGGCTCCAAATGTTGTCATGACACTGAGCTATAGGATTGCACTGGTGGGATTGTTAGGAAAACCTGCATCCATAGATCATTGTTAGTGATTGTTTTTCTTTCCATTTATGTTAGTACATACTAATATTTGCGTTACTTTGGCCATTTCTCTTTCTCTCCTCACAAACCTTCCCCCTCCCGTTTCTGTTTCTTGTTCTTTGTGGTAGGTTCCTGTGTTTGACACATCAGTTTTCACGTCTGCCTGGAGGTATTTCCCACCAAGCTCAACCTTCCTTTCCATCTCCCAAGGCACTTGTGATTTCTTTTGACTTGTGACCAAAAAATAGTGGCTGGTACCTGGGCCATGCAAATTGGTGCCATGAATATGCTCAGAGCAGTTAATTATGGTACATGTAGAATCTTGTAAGAGTTTAGGACCATTTTTCAGTTTGCCTGTGTTGCTGCTGATCAAAGGGAAGCTCTGGAGTGAGATATCTGATGAGAATCATCTGCCTGAGAATGCAAATGCTTCTGCTTTCCTGGAAATCCACTGTTTTACACACTGACCCTTAGCACGGGCTTCAGTGAATTTTCCTGTGATAATAAAGGAGAGAAAGAATTTAGATCAAAGCTAGGCTTACCTGGGTCTGTGTCACAGGAGGTTTTACACCCTGCTTAATTCTCTGTGGAGGGCCATTTTCCCACTGAGAGAAGGGATAGCTCTGTAGAGGTTATTTTAGTCACATATGAAATACAGAACTTAATCTGCATTTCAAATCTGATAGTTTAGAAAAAGTAAATGGTATCAATACTATCAAATCACATGTTCAACGACTGGTAAAGTGTGAGTAAATATGAGAAATGTGACATTAGCACTAATAGAGACTAAAAGTATGTTTAACTTCAGGGCCTTCCCTTTCTTCAGACGCATTCATGTTTCTGTGTGTCAGACATGTAGGTTGTGATCTGTACAACAAATACAGCAAAGTCTGGAGTCCCAATTTTGCCACAGCTTAAGAAAGTTCAAGATCCAGATTTGTGCCTAGATCCACACTTGAATTTTGGTTCTTCTCAAGAAACTGTAATTGAAGCTCTTAAAAGTCATGCCTTGTGAACGTTTCATCTTTCACAGTCCAATTGTTTTCTAGACCACCGTTTTTAGGAACTTAAACTTGACTCGAAATGTTAGGATATTTGGTATCTGCATCAAAAAAAATCAGAGTATAACTTAATTTTATAGCTTCGTAAGATTGTCAAGCATCATCTTTTTTTGTGTGATGTAACATTTTGTATAAAATATTTAAAGACATTAAAGGACAGGCTTTGTGCCTTTTTCAGTTACTGCCCAAGAACTGATTTCTCTCTCTGCAGTTTCATAGCACAGATTGCCACTGTGAGCTTGACTTTATGGCTGAATAGACATTTCAGTACAAAAAGGAGTCCAAGTGATTCAAATTGTTACATGATGCTTTGGCACCTTGTGCTGGTTATATCACCTCCAATCCAAGTGGTTTCGGTACAAAAATAGACCAGTTGGAAAAAGAACAGCTGTCATCTTTTATGCATAGTTTTAAATTTTTTATGTGCAGTGTTAGAGTGTGCGAAAGGTGCTGGACGAGCCCTGGGGCCATTCCCACAGTGGCATCCTGGCCACTTACCCATCTCCAGCCATGTTTTCCAAGAAGCTTTTCCAGGTAGGGAGGGGGTGTCTTTCTGTGAGAACTGAACACATATTTTTACGGGATTTTTTTGTTTGTTTGTTTGTGTGTATTTTTTTCAATTTTTGCTTTGGCCATTTCTTGTTGTCATCTTTGAGACTTGAACATTCCCAGCAGCGTTCACAGGGTAAAAAAAATTTCCAATCTGATGTTTAAACTAGAGTCTAAAAATTTCAGGAAGTAAATGAGGTTGTTTTGGACACTATTCAGTGTCTGTATTAAGGCAACTGACATTCACTCTTGACTCTGTATATTATTAAATTGACTCCAAGCATTAAAATTAGACATTTATTTTTCATTCATACCAGAATTTCCTAGTGTATAAGATGCCATGGACATCATCTTCCTTTGGCTAAGGACTGAAAAGCATTTAAAATGTAATCTTCCCTTTACATCCCTCTTTAGTGGATTTTTTTTGTTTGTTTGGGCAGGAGGTCTGTAGCTTCATCCGTGGTATTTTATTTGTATATATGTACGCATATACAAGTTTTGTAACTCTCTCTACCCATACGCCCTCAGGGATAATTCTGTTATTCACTGTGCCCAGCTTCCAGCCCTTCTGCAGCTCCCATCCATCACGTTCAGCCCAGCAAGGTGGGGAGCTGCTGCCCCTGCACCCCCCAGCTCTGACAGAGGCCTGGCCTTCACTGGCAGCGATTGGTTTCTTCAAATATTGCAGCTCAGATCCTCCTGATTCTTGGCAAACTCTGGTGCCCTAAAAGCTCAGTGTTTTGTTTTGTTCTTTTCCTTCAAATTCCCTGCATTTAAATGTGCTTTCAGAATGAAATGCTTAGAAAATGCTGCCATGCTTTGGATAATGTGGTGAGAGGTTTAACAGTGGTGAATTGTTCTTGTGCGTGCATGAAAAGTGTGTTATTGGTACTTTCTCTGAGTAAAATTGTGTTTGTTCAGAAACTGTACCGCTGGTATAAGTATTGCAGTTTTCTGCTAGCGCATTTATATAACCATCAAATTGCTGCAGTGCAAATCCAGAGCTATTCAAAGCAGATCTTCTGTAGGAGTTTAACTCCAGGGGTCTGCATGTCTATGTTAGTCTGAGTCATAAAGCACTGGATTAAAATGTGCACCCTTGACTTTTGATTGCACCAGAAAGCAAAATAGGAGGGGAAAAAAAACCTTGGCTCACTACCGTCAGTTTGTTTAAATTGCAGGCTGTTTCATATTGAGATCAACAAGAGAATATCCTGAAAATATGTTTCTGAAGGTTTCAACATATTGCAAGAGCCGAGTCTCCTTTCTTAAACTAAAGTCATATATAACTTCCAAATACATAATGCATGACCTGCTTTTGATTTCCTTTGGAAATCCTTTGGATTTTACGTTTGAAATAAAGGCTGGAACCTTGACCTACCCTCTTGCCTGGGTTTGGGGTTTGTGATTTTCTGGGATGAAGGAGAAGGCACAGACTCCCAGTAACTTGCTGTGTCCATAGCAGAGCGTGACGGGGGGAGTGAGACGTGGCTTGCCCTGTTTAAACAGTAACATGTGTGGCTGAATTCTGAGGATCCACATAACAATTTATGCTGTGAGTTCACCAAGGAACTCCTTTTTCAAAATAATTTATGACAAATTTAGCCAAAAGGGAACGAGTGAGTTTACACTTGCTGACTGTGGATGTCCATGGGAGGTGTAACTGTGGCACAGCTAACTCACAGTCTGACTAGTGGCAATCTCTGCCAGCAGAGCAGCTGTCCCTGCTTTCGAATGTGCAACACTGTCACTCAGTGCTTATGATCATTGTCAGTGGAGAGATTGATTTGTTCAGTGGGCTTTTATTCATTGAGAAAGAAATCTGCTTTTGGTTAAAAAGTCAGAAGCCAGTAGTCCTGCCTTGCCCAGCCTAATCCTGGCAGGAATTAGGAGAGCTGCAGTGCATGGGCTGAGGTAACTCTGCCTGATGGCATCCTGTGCACAGGCAGGAGGGATAACTGTGAGGCTGGTTGGAGTAGTTCAGTTGGAGAAGTTCAGTTGAAAAGAGATCTGAAGCAGCAGCAAAGGGTGAGAGGGCGTTATGCTGAAATACAAGGGGAGAAAATGATGTGACAGTTATAAAATGTCTTGTGCAAGAAATTCTGTTAGTGTTTATAGGCTTTTATTTTTAAATGATGTAAAAATAAAGTTCGTGGGAAATTTTTCTTGGATTTAGTTTAAGCAAGTATCTCTGTGTTGTTACAGTTAATGTAGGGGGGAACAAACAGCACCATAATAATCTATTATTATTGTTGTTTGCAGTAGTAAAAGCAGAATAAGGAGGTCTGTTGCCAAAGAAAAGGAAATTGTATGTGTGGAATAAAAATTCTTAACATGATTATCAGATTCTGTTTTCAGCAGCAGAGGCAGCACATTAAATGTTCTGGTGTCTGTGGGCTGCATTTCCTGGCTACACTTGATTTTATTTCAAAACATGCCACATCAATTGCATTGTCTGTCTGTCTTAGAAAAAAAATCCCACAAGGTATCTTCTAAGGAAGGGAAATATCATTTCATCTTTTATCCCCACCTGTGAAGGGAAAAATTCCTTCCTCCTACACGGTGCTTTCTGAGAAGGCTGGATTTGTTTCCCTGGTAAATGTGGCTTCTGGCAGATGTCTGGAGGATCCCCTTGGCCATGCCAAGGTCACTTCCCACTGGAATCTTATCCCTTTGGTATCCTCCAGGGATGCAGTTTCACCTAAAAGCCAAGGTAAAGGAAAAAACCTTCAGCTATGTCTCTAGTTTATTATAATAAACAGGACCCCCCCACACACACCCCCATCCCACTGCTACCACAGGTCAGCTGTAGAGTCTGGAGTATCCATGCTCTCTTCTGGGCAAACTGTTTGAGAGTACTATATTTGTTCAGGGTTTTTCTCTTGGTTACTCACTGATTGTGTTTCTTCAGTGGAGAAAAAACTGCAAAATGCAGGCACTAAATGCCTGTGTGATGACATGGGGTTATCTCAAAAGTCTGTGCATGTAAATGCACAGAGACATATTCGGTGGTGTCTCAAACAACTTCCATGCTGGAAACACAAGATATTTTATTAAATATACTTAGTGACTGTAGGAGGAACCTCTATTCAAAGAGAGCTTGGTCTTTAGTCTTTAATCTTCAACTGACACCAAGTTTTCCTCCTGTACCAGCACACTGTGAAAAGGAAAGGTGAGGAGGGTGTATGTGCCACAGTCGGAATTGCTGTGATGGATGTGGCATCAAACTTGTGCATGTTTCTGCTGACACTGGAATAAGTGGGACTTTTTGCAGCACAGAGGTCTGGCAGTGCAGCTCCTCTTCCCATTCTGGCTGTACAAGGAACTTACACTCACAAGACAAACCTTCCCTAACAGGGTCAGGGAGCAGTCAGTGCTGTTACACAAACTTGTTAAAGGTAACTTTAAGTTCAGGGCACAAGCCATGCAATTTTTCTCCCTTCCTTCAGTTGCTGTCATAGAAGAACCAAATGGTCATTTCTGTTTGCTGCAGGCCGGAGATCCTTTATTCGCTTCCAAGTTTTAAAACAAATAAAATAAATCAATACGCTGCTGTCGTGCTTTGCATGTGGGGTAATTCACTTATAAAGGGAAAACTGCTGGAGTTTCAAAGCAATGAATCAAAGGAAATTTCATTAGTGACTGACTGTATATTTTCTCATTCATGGTGCCGACTGAGTGACAAAAGTTCTTGTTAGCGTGTGTTTGTGTAATTGTCAAATCTGACTTTTTTCAGGTACTTGGAAGGAAATCATCTGCCTGCTGTGCCGAAGGGGCTCTCTGCCTTCAGACACCTGACACTGATGTAAGAAACGCATGGTTTCAATGGCAAGAAAAATGACATGGCTCTTTCTGCACTGTGTTGTTGGTGGAACATAAATAATTAGTATTTGGGGGGGTGAAAAAAGCCCCACGAACCCCCCAAACCTTCTGTAATTTGAATTTGGAAAGAATTTCACAGTGGCCACTGCTGCCAGTAAGTGTTCATAAAGAGTGAGGTGCCTGAGAAGCCCCTTGCTCTGCAGGAGCTCACAGCCTCTGTGAGAGGGCTAAACTCACCCAGGCTGCTGCAGTTGCACTTGGCAGATTTATCTGTGTAAAGGTCATTAACAGAGGAGATGCATTAATTTGTGCTAGGTGAGGCAGTATTTACAATGCTAAGGCAGCGATAATTTGCGTGGCTGTTTCTGCTGTCAGCTGTCACAGAGACAGAGACACAGCAAGACTTTGTTCAGTAAAGCCCTGCCTGAAATACACAGGAGTGAAATTCCCTCCCTGAACTATTTATCAGAAATTTTCAAATGCTGTTGGAATCAGCTGGGCAGGTACTCAAGTCAAATGGGCAGAACAACCTCAGAGAAAAACAACACAGAGGAAAAACTGGAATCCTCTATTTTAAGAGAGAGTTTTATTTGGCAACATCTCTAATTTTATTTTTTTTTTCAAGGAAGACCAACAACAAAACAAAATGTTCTGGTTGAGCCTAAAAGACTTTTTAAAATGAAAAATGAAATTTTGTTCTAGTAGCTGTCAGTGTGAAGAGCATATGGAAATTGTGTGCCTGGAATAGATTGCAAAGCAAGTTGGGACAGTAAATATTCAGCACTGCTTGTATCCTTTATTGATTTATCCTTCTTCATTGAATGTTATATGCTGGAAATAAGTCTTAATATTCTGAGTCTGAGGCTTTTTAGTGGAGTCTGATCTGCTTTTCCTGTAG